TTTTAAAACACGTCTACTAGGGAGAAGTTTCCACACCCTTATAAGAAATGTTTCATTCCCCTCTCCAACTGATGTAAGGTCTCAAAATCCACCCCCATTGGGGACCCAACGTCCTTGTTAGCACACCGCTCGGTGTCTGGCTTGATGTCATTTGTAATAGCCCAAGCTCACCACTAATAGATATTGTCTTCTCTTGGCTTTCCCTTAAAGGGCTTCCCCTCAAGGTTTTAAAACGCGATATTATCTTCTTTGGGCTTTCCCTTAAAGGGTTCCCCTTAAGGTTTTAAAGCGCGTCTACTAGGGAGAAGTTTCCACATCCTTATAAGAAATGTTTCATTCCCCTCTCCAACCGATGTGGGGTCTCAAAATCTACCCCCATTGGGGACCCAGCGTCCTCATTAGCACACTGCCCGGTGTCTGGCTTGATGTCATTTGTAACAACCCAAGTCCACCACTAATAGATATTGTCTTCTATGGGCTTTCCCTTAAAGAGCTTCCCCTCAAGGTTTTAAAACGCGATATTGTCTTCTCTGGGCTTTCCCTTAAAGGGTTCCCCTCAAGGTTTTAAAACGTATCCACTAGGGAGAAGTTTCCACACCCGTATAAGGAATGTTTCGTTCTTCTCTCCAACCGATGTGGGATATCACAATCCACCTCCTTTGGGGGCCCAGCGTCCTCACTAGCACACTGCCTGATGCCTAGCTCTAATACCATTTGTAACAACTCAAACTCACCGCTAACAGATATTGTCCGCTTTAGCCCGTTACGTATTGTCGTTAACCTCACAGTTTTAAAACCCGTATGTTAGGTAGAGGTTTCCACACACCCTTATAAGGAATGTTTCATTCCCCTCTTTAACTGACGTGGAGTCTCACAATAGTTTATAGCCATTATGCTAAGTGGTCTATTCTTTACACGTCCTTTTCCTTCTTCGTGGTTCAAATCACATTAACGCTTGCTGCCGAATTCCATAACACCAGATTGTGCATTGGAAAAATCACTTAAAATTCCCTGATGAGTCAAGATTATCACCTGAAGCAAAAGACATGATCAGCAGGCTGCTTTGCAATGCTGAGCATAGGCTTGGTACTGGAGGCGCAGAACAAATCAAGGCCAGTCTATAGTACTTTTCCTCAAACAAGATATATGCTGATGCTCTATTCTTAATGTTTTATGTATTGACAAACAAACCATTTAGGCTCATCCTTGGTTTAAACATACCGAGTGGGACAAACTCTATGACATCGATGCAGCATTTAAGCCCGAGGTCAACGACGAACTCGATACGCAGAATTTTATGCAGTTTGATGAGGTGAGGTCAAGATAATCTTCATTTCTTTAAGCCTCTCGACACGAATCCATTATCGTTTCATGGTGACTGACTTTTAATTGTATGAATATTCCTCACCGAGTTTTCTGGATCCTGACAAGGGTGCTGCTGTGTCGTAGGTCGATCCACCGCCAACTAGAACCGGATCTGGACCAATAAGGAAGGTATTCATTTTCAATTGCTGTGGTTTATGTTAGGTGTTTTGGTAAAATCATAATAACTATTTGGTATCTTATTGTCTCCACTGACTTGTTATTAGATGTTGTTGACTCCCAAAGATCTCAGTTTTGTTGGTTATACATACAAAAATTTTGAAGCTGTCAAAGGACTACACCATTCATTTGGTAAGAGTTTTATATCTTTCTCGATTTTCTCCCCCATCCCCGTAGGTAACACGTGTAGTGTGAGATTCTACATCGGTTGGAGAGGGGAACGAAACATTCCTTATAAGGGTGTGGAAAACCTCGAGAGGAAGCTCTTTAAGGGAAAACCCAAAGAGAATAATATCTGCTAGTGGTGGGCTTGTGCTTGGGCTGTTGTAAATGGTATCAGAGCTAGACACCGGGTGGTATGCCAGTGAAGATGCTGGGCCCCAAGGAGGGTGGATTGTGAGATCCCACGTCGGTTGGAGAGGGAAACGAAGCATTCCTTATAAGAGTGTGGAAACTTCTCTCTAATTGACGCGTTTTAAAACCTTGAGAGGAAAACCCTTTAAGGGAAAATCCAATGAGAACAATATCTACTAGTGATGGACTTGAGCTATTACAAATAATATCAGAGCCAGACACTGGGCAGTATGCCAGCGAGGACGCTGGGCCTCCAATGAGGGTGGATTGTGAGATCCCACATCGGTTGTAGAGGGAAACGAAGCATTCCTTATGAGGTGTAGAAAATTCTCCCTAATAGACGCGTTTTAAAACCTTGAGGGGAAAGCTTTTTAAGGGAAAGTCCAAAAAGAGCAATATCTACTAGTGGTGGGCTTGAGCTGTTACAAATAGTATCAGAGCCAGACACTGGACAGTATGCCAGAGAAGATGCTGGCCCCAATGGGGGTAGATTGTGAGATCCCACCTCGGTTGGAGAGGGGAACGAAACATTCCTTATAAGGATGTGAAAACTTCTCTCTATTAGACGCACTTTAAAACCTTGAAGGGGAAGCCCTTTAAGGAAAAGCCCGAAAATGACAACATCTGTTAGTGGTGGGCTTGAACGGTTGCATGTAACAACCTATTCTATGTGATGAAGAACATATGCCGTACAGTCGTTTATGTTTCAAGAGGCTAGAGCTTAAATGTTTTGATGCTCACCAAAAATGAAACTTGCATACTTGGAAAGAATTGGAGTCTCTGTAGCATAGTGACAGACGTATATATGAAAATATAACTATGCACATGCTTATCTGTATAATTTGATGTTTCCTATGATGATGGCTTGTGTTGAACAAAACATGCCATGACCTTTCTGACATTCTTGTCTGTCCAATTCCTCACATCTCAGATTTGAAATCGAGCACCACCCTGACTCGGACTTCGTCAGTTGACTCGACTAAAAGTAAGAGATTCAAGGGAACTATACTTATCGATTTTGAGTTTTAAAACGAGCTTCTTACCGACACGGACATCTTGTACAGGTGACTCGGCATTGATCAACTACTCAACAGAGGACAGGGAAGCCATATTGGCACCATCAGGGGATGCTTTGTCACAGTAACAATGTCAAAGAGGCCTAGTGATGGTGCCTGTGGGCAAAGGAATTTGGTGTATTGCTGCATTGCCAATCCATAAAGCTATGCTTCTATGTGGAAAGGAGACACATCCTTTTGTTGTCTCAAACATCATTTTCATTTGTCACAAGTTGTTCACAAAATGAAGTGAGAAACTTGAATGTGTAATAATTTTGTTCCTAATGTATTTCAACGTTCGTGAGCGTTAGAGAAAAGACGATACAAAGAGATTCTGTGACAGCCCAAGCTCACTGCTAGTAGATATTGTCCGTTTTAACCCGTTACGTATTGCCGTCAGCCTCACGGTTTTAAAATCTATCTGTTAGGGAGAGGTTTCCACACCCTTGTAAGAAATGTTTCGTTCCCCTCTCCAACTGATATGGGATCTCACAATCCACTCCCCTTGGGCAGTACATTGCCTGGTGTCTGGCTCTGTTATCATTTGTAACAGCACAAGCCCATCACTAATAGATATTGTTCGTTTTGGCCTATTACATATTACTGTTAGTCTCACGATTTTTAAATGCGTCTGTTAGGGAGAGGTTTCCACACTCTTATAAGGAATGTTTCGTTCCCCTTTTCAATCGATGTGAGATCTCACAATCCACTCTCTGAGGGCTCAACGCCCTTGCTAGCACGTTTTACGATGTCTGGCTCTAATACCATTTATAATAGTCCAAGTCTACTGCTAATAGATATTGTCCGCATTGGCCCATTACATAACATTGTTAGCCTCACTATTTTAAAATGCGTTTGTCAGGGAGATGTTTCTTCAACAGATATAGAATCTCACTGATTAACGATATATCAGTAGAATAATGACGTAATAGTCACATTCATTATATTTCAGCTCGAACATAACTCAATCAATGAGACATTGATGTCTCTCATCTATACTATGAGTTCACAATTTTTTCCTATTGCACATATATAAAGTAAATATAACTCAAATGTTAAAAGGACCAATTAGACGAGAGATAAAATGTACGTGAATCAATTAATTATATTTTAAAATTATGATATATTAACGAGAGTGATTAGTTATAATTATTATAAATCAACTTTTAACTATTGATTATAGGCGAATTAATTCATTCATTTAATATTTTTTTTTGTAAACATGAATTAAATATATATTTAAATAAATCATTATTAATTAATTATATTTTTTTTTTGGGAAACTAAAATCTAGTTATTCAGTTATAAGTTAGTTAGTTATTTTATTTTATTTTTATTTTTATTTTTTTAGAAACTGAGATTGATAAACCGAACTCAGATAAGGTAAGGTAAGTGTCACACATTAGATTCTTTTAGTCTCGTAAATTGTGTAAAGTCTCGTATTCTATGACCACACGTATATTCATAGATATATTTGATACAACTGTACAAATTACAATCTAATAACTTAATTATCAGATTCTATTTAAAGCATAAATTAATCCTAAATTTTAAAAATATAATTAAAACTATCTAAATATATAAATGAAAAAATATAAAGTAACTAATTAATGTAACAAGTTCGGTTTGATATAAATTAAAAAAAATGGACGAATATAAATATAATTTGTATTTATAATTAAATTTTGTTACAGAATCATTAAAATTTATTAGGAAATAAATTCGAATCATAATTAATTATCTAAAATTAAATAATATAATAAAATTAATAAAAAAAATACATTATTTAAATGAAATTCTGATAAACAATTATTTGATTGTTAGGTATTTTTCTTTGGGGTTGTAAACAAAACCTTGAACCAAACGACCGTAAAACAAAATCAATTTTCATCCGGTTGAAAGTAGAGGTCCCGGTTCGCAATCGTAAACGATAACCGGAACCAAGCCAGGAAGCGGGTTCGACCGGGTCCAACCACTATCTTCCCAAAATACTCCGATTCCCCACACCAGTTTTGATTTATAGGCCAGATAGTAACATGGGCATAATCGTAATTTAGCCCTTACAATTTTCATTGACGATCAAAGCAATGAGCTTCCTCCTCCATGGCTTCGCATGAACAACCTTCAATCTGGAGCTTCAACTCGTACATGAAAAAAAAATTGTTACTTTTCATCATTATTTTTTTTTCTTTACTACTATCCGATTCTGTAGGAATTTTCCAAACCTCGGATGTCCTGGATCGTAGTAGCTCGAGTTGAGCACGAATAACGACGATTTGTTTCGGATTGAAAGTTGAGGTAGATTCATTTTATTTTTTAGTTTAATTATGAGTTTTAATCGAATTGAATTATTGCATTTTTGCTGTTGTTTCTTAGTATTTCTGGTTGTTTGGAGTTGGATTGGAGGTTTTCACGTATCTCGAGAATTTAGCTTCTAGGGTTCCTTCTTTCAAATGTGCGGTTTTCTGTTTTAGATTTTGGTTGGGTAGTTATTGATGGAAGTGCAATTAACATAAGGTCAACGAAGTAGAATGGAAACATTCTATAATAATTTTTGGAGCTTCGAGCTGGAAATACTTTTATAGCAGAATTTAGATGGGCATGTCAGTTGGTTATTGGAGTCAAGTTTATGAATGGAATGGTCATGGAAAAGATATCAAAGCTGCAGATACGGAGTGGAGTACTGTATGATGAAACTTGGTTCTTTACAGAAATGAAATGTAGAAATCTCCTTAAGTTAAACATATTTTACACTTGAAATTTGTTGTTTACTTGTTTTCTTTGGATATGGATTTTTGTCCATTTTTATTACTATTTGTGAATTTTGGATCTTGGACTCTCCAAGTGATTGGAACGTTTATGAACTATATTACGGTGGTATTAATCATTAGGCCAGCCATATGTGAGTTGAAATGCATTAGTTGATCCAGCTGTGTGCTATTTTTCATAAACTATTATACTAACTTTAAGAGTCAATCTTCTCTGGTTTCTTTCTGTCCGTTTGTCGGTTTAACCATTCAATTGTGGTATAATGAAACTGCAACTACGTCTATACTGTTCGTTTTAGGATGTTTAAAGAGGAGTGTCTATGACCAACTGAAGTAATCTCAAATGGTTAAGGTGTTAGAATCTTGATAAGAATGTTAGAGGTTTGAACCTCGCTCCTACGAGGTTATTTGTGTTCATTGGAGGGTATAGGTATATGCACATGGTCAATTGCCATAGCTTGAGCACATTGAATTTCTGCATCTTTTATCTTTAGAAAAGTTGAGTTTCTTACATATTTTTTCATGTTATACATAATTAACACCCTCATAGATGTAATACCTGATGAGCGAAATATAGGTGGGATTCTGACTCTAACGAGCCCCATCGTAAGATAAAAATGCTGTGTCTTACATGGTTTGCAATTTGATCGTGCTTGGGTCCTTGTATTTGGTTTTATTTAACAGATAGTTTCCCTTTTGGATAAAAAAAAAAAGGGGATTCTCACTTCAATGCGAGTATCCTCACTTTAAGGAGGAGGATGAGGAGGTTGTTTGGTTAAGTATGAATAGTTGACTATTATGTTGGAAGATTTAGAGCATAAACATAGTATTGGAGAGAGGTTGTCAAGAACCAATAGCTAGTAGACAATGTAATGTAGTAAGTTATACCTATGGAAGTGAAGGAGAATGTATTGAACTCCACAGATGCAAGGTTATGAAAGTATCTACAGGTACCTTGGTTCATATAATGTTGGAATACAAGATTGTCTTGGACCAGGAAAATATTTCTGACACTTGGGCACAGGTTATCTACTTAGTGGATCAATTATACAATCATCGCCTTTTCACCCGTCTCCTTTTGCATGTAAATATCTTTTCAGTGAAATTTCCTTTTGATGAAAGTATTATACACCATTTAATTAGAAAATTGGTCTTTTGTTTTGTTGAGATAGTTTTATCTTATTATTCTATACTAGTTAGAATTCTTGGTCTGAAGAGGACACAAGGAATTGAGTGGTAGGGACTAGGGAGTAAACAGATGAGACAATCTTTAGTTTCTGACCCAAAGTTTGTGTTCCCTAAAGTGGAATATTCACTCCATAGGATTCCAGAGACGTGTTTCTTAGTTAAACAGCTTTTCCAGTATTTATATACTGAAGTGCTACTTTTTTTTGCCTCTGAATATTAGGGTGTGAAATTCTTCCCTGTTTGGACTCCTATTAATTTTATTTTTAACAATCTTGGATAGGTAAACAATCTTATTGTTTCAAAGTAAGAGTCCAAATCTCCTTCCTGTGTGTTACTTTGCTTGCTATGGCATGGATGATGCATGGACTCTAACCTGATGGTGATGTCTAGCAAGTTTGAATTCGCTTCAGGGAGCCCGGATAGACCGTTACAATCTAGTGGGCAACGTGGAGCCCACATGGCCGTTCCACTAGACAGATCTGGTAGCTTTCGTGAGAGTTTGGAGAATCCAAATTTATCTACTCTTCCAAATATGTCGAGAAGTGCTTCTGCTGTATCACAAGGGGACGTTTTAAATTTCTTGCAATGCTTGCATTTTGGTCGAAAGTTGGTTGCCACAGATGAAAAGTCTAATCGTCAAGGGGACTTCAGCAGACAGTTACAACTTGCTCTTAGTATGTCACCTGATGATTCTCCATCTAGTTCTTCAAAAGGTAAATTGCCATCATCTGTGATGCGAGAAGAAATCAAGCGGATGAAGGGTAGTCTACGGGAGTGCTCTGTCAAAGCCAGGTAGTTCTTCATAAACTTGTATTTTGAATCTGAATTTGTCCAAGTTATTTGTCAGATCCTTTGATTTTTTTTTTTATTATTTTCTTCGGAACAGGGAACACTTAAAAATTTTCAATGAAGCCTTATCTGTATTTAACAAGTTTTTCCCAAGTGTACCATCAAAAAAGAGGTCACGGTTAGAAGGTTATAACAACGAGCGGTCCAATTTCATTGTATCCGGTGAGCGGTCAGCTAGGGGGCAAGTAGGTAAGTTTGGAAATCAGAGTAACACTGGCGTTTTTGAACATGAGATGCAGAAATCTGAAGAACGAATTAAAAACGCTATGCCCAATAAACGCACAAGAACTTCTTTGGTGGATTCAAGGGGGGTTTGTACCTTATACCTCTTACATATTTATGTGCTATTATTGCTTTTTATTCTATATTTTGACCCTGTTTCATTTTGTATATGTATGTTTTATATGGTTAACTCATTACGATAGTTTCTTTGTAGTTGTCCAAATTGTCTTTCCTTTTTTATGTTTGACAAAACTTTGATACCCATATATTTCTTGCTTAAATCTTATGTCATACTTAAATTTCTCTTTTTTACTAGTAGATTTTTACAATGTTATTAATCTGTTGCCACAATGTTATTAATCTGTTGCAGTTTTCCTTGAATTTATGCTGAGATTTATATGAAATTCAGCTCCTCTTCTGTTCCTTGACAGTTTTCATGGATTTCAAATTCTACAGATGGATGTTCGTGGTAATGCTCCTGTGAGACCATCTGGAGGTGCTGATAGGGAAAGAGATGCACTAAGACTTGCAAATAGTTGTGCTGTTCCAGGTGAAGACAGGAGTTTATCAATTGGCGTTGATGGTTGGGAGAAGTCAAAAATGAAGAAAAGGCGATCTGGAATAAAGTCAGATGTCTCTTCAAGCAGTCAGTCAACCAAACCAGTTGATAGTTATGATGAAGTTAAGCAGCAATTGCAGCAAAGACCTGTTTCTGATGCTCGATCACGAATGAATAAAGATAGCCATGGGTTTAGGTATGACTTATTGACTATTGTAAACATCCTCCTATGTCCACCATTTGACCATATGGCTTAATGACATGTATATATGTATCAACTTGACGACTAAATTTTTTGTAATGATTGAATTAATTATGGTCCATGCTACATTTAGTCATTTACTCAGATAAATATCTGTGATATTTCTGATGAAAATGATGCTGGAATATGCATGCAAATCCTTATCACTTATATTTTACTTCATACTATGGTTTTATGCTTGAAGCTTGCGTAGTCTAGAATTGCCCCTTGGAGAGTGATAATTATAATGTGGTTTTTATAGGCCAGGGGTGGCTAATGGAGCTCCTGGTGTTGGAAAATCTGAAGGTGTTGCTCAACAGAATGGCTTGGGTATTCGTTCATCCATGTCCAGGACTGATTTGGACGGCAATTCCCTTGTCAGTGACAGGAGAGATATTTCTATTGTTTCGGACAAAGAAAGAGTGAACCTCCGGGGTGTTAACAAGTATGACTCTTCCTTACTACAATAAAATATTTTCATTTTTTAAATGATCAAAGCCGCCTACTGCATAGTCTTTTGAATCTTTTTGCTGCATTTCTCCCCTTTCACATGTACTTTCCTTCCGTTTAATTTTTGGATCTTAGTTGGTTTAAACTCTTCTCCAAGCATTATTACATATTTGAGATTTGAAATGTCCTTCACATCTGTTCCCTCTGTTTTGACCATATGCTTATGAGTTTTTCATCTTTCAATTGGTTAGGTCAAATGTTCGCGATGATATTGTTTTAACCAGCCCTACATCAAATGCTAAAGTGAATCCATCTGTTCGTGCTCCACGGTCCAGTTCAGGCATTGCTCCAAAATTTTCTCCGGTTGTTCATAGATCAGTTCCTTCTAATGATTGGGATATGTCAAATTGCACAAATAAGCTTACTGCTGGTGGTGGTGTGAACAATCGCAAACGCATGACATCAATGCGGTCCTCATCCCCTCCAGTTTCCCAATGGGCAGGCCAGAGGCCACAGAAGATCTCCCGCATTGCAAGGAGGACCAATCTGGTTCCTATTGCTTCAAGCAATGATGATACTCCTTTGGATAACACATCTGATGTTGGGGGCAATGATACTGGCTCGGGATTTGGTAGACGCATGTCTGGTAGTTCTCCCCAGCAAGTGAAAATAAAAGGTGAACCATTATCCTCAGCTGCCCTATCTGAAAGTGAGGAATCTGGGGCTGCTGAGATCAAATCTAGAGAGAACACCCGAAAATCGGACAATTTAGATGATAAATCCGAACACGGTGTTCAGAAGGTACCTACCTTAGTTCTGCCGAATAGGAAGAATAAATTGATTGATGAAGACATTGGAGATGGGATTCGGAGACAAGGGAGGACTGGTCGTGCTTTCACTTCCACTAGGTCTCTCATGCCAATGACAGTTGAGAAGATTGAGACTGTCGGAACTGCAAAACAGCTTAGAAGTACCAGACATGGATTTGATAAAGTTGAAAGGTTAGACATGTTTTGCACATATAAAGTTTCTAGCTTATCTATAAAATGTCATTGCGGTATTTCATTTAGTTCCGAAATTCTCATAATTTTTCAAATTCCATTCAGCAAGGCAGGTCGTCCACCGACTAGGAAATTTACTGACCGCAAGGCATATAAACGTCATAAGCATTCAGCAACGAATGTGGGGACAGATTTTCTTGGTAAATTGTACTTCAGCTTTATACTTCAGCTTCTTTGTTAGCGTGAGAATTCCTCCCTCATATCACCCTTTGTCTAATCATGTTTGGTCGACTTTAGTTGGATCAGATCACGGGCGTGAGGAGCTAATGGCTGCTGCTAATGCTGTTATAAATCCTGGTTTGTTCTTAGGTTTCATGCATACATGTTTCTCTACGGATGTGAAATGCTATTATCTCTCTCATGCTGCATATGTTAATCACACTGCTACAACAGGTCACACTTTTTTCAGCCCATTTTGGAGACAGATGGAGCCATTCTTTTGTTTTATATCTGAAGCAGATATTACACACTTAAGAAAACAAGTATGGCCTATTTTGTTCTATCTACCATTAGTTTTCTTCTTTCGTTCTACCTCTTTATTTTAATCCTGCAGGTATGGCCAGATGGTTATTTTCTCCTTGTAGTGCTACGAATATGTATATGTTATATTTCAGCATCTTGAATTAAGTAAAGTATAATGGGAGAGACGTGCTCTCAGTTTGGCTTTATTCGAGGTTATTGAGCGGAGACTAATAAGGAGAACTTTCTTATTAGTGGGTTGCATAAGCTTCCTAAAATATGAAACTTTCTTTTGAAATTTTCTCTGTTTCTAGTCATCCAGCAGTAGTGTTCTGTTTCATCTGTGCTCCTTTTGACTTTCTTGCCTTTCATCCTTGGTTTATTTGAACAAATCATTTCTTGGACTGCCATCTGAATTAGTTATGGTATAAAGCTGGTGTACTTTTATGTCAAAACTATCCTAATTTTTCTACGTTCCTACTTGGTTTCTCTTTCAGGGAGATCTTGAAGTTACTGCATCGGGGCCAAAAGTTGTTTCAGACAAGGACACTTCCAATATTAGTCTCGATGATTTTGAGCGCCTTGAAAATGAAGAAAGAGGAGAAGTTCCTTTAGGACATTTAATTCACGAGTCTAAAGATCATACCGTGGTTCCTTTATACCAGAGACTCTTAGCCTCGTTAATTCCAGAGGAGGTTGCTGACAACAAAAGTGAGGACATTAAGTATGATAATTACGGAATGTCCGACTTAGATGAAGATTTTAAACCAAACAAATTGAGTCACGAAATTTTACCTAGTTCTCAGCTTTCTGTGCATTCTGCTAATGATGATTATAACATGAGAGGAGGATCAGGTTCAGATCAACATATGCCTGAAACAGATAGACAGAGCATCCCAAACTCTGTGATGATGTTAAATTTCTCAAATTCCCTGAATGGCTTGGTCTCCAATCAAACCTTGATGCCTGGAATGGTCTGTTCAGAGTTGCAGTATGATGGCATGCCGTTGAATGAGAAACTTCTCTTGGAGATTCAAAGTATTGGAATTTTCCCAGATTCAGTGGTATGTTTACATTCAACTAATTAATTCTTCAATAGAGGAAAGAGAGTACGACATTCCTCTGATGGCTACTTATGTATCTTGCTCAATACCTGAAGTGGTTTTATATGTGAATAAACAATAAACATTTAACTGCTTGCTGAAATTTTCTAGCTCAAGTGTTAAAATTGAACTTGCGAGTTCTTTTTTAAATATTAAAATCATGTGTCGTTGTATAAACAACTCACTGTTTCTATTTTTAACTTGTATGTATCATAAGTAGTGACTATTCCCACAGATCCCTGCAATCCTTTAATTCTAAAGTGAAAATATGAAAACATGGTTTTCTTAAGAACTGCCAAATGTCTAAGAAGTGCTAATGCACATAAGTGGATGTGGCTCTTGGTATGGATATTGCGTTTTTTTTTATTCCATTGTAAGCCATGCATTAAGTTTTGTCTCCTACACGTACTTTGTGCTAATTCCATTCTTTCTGTTTTATTCCTTTGTAATTATAAATCAATTGAATAATGCTCCTTGTTTTTTTCAGCCTGAAATGTTGCAGTTAGATGAGGAAGAGATCACTAACGACATCCGTCTGTTGGAAGAGAAGAAGAATGAGCTGGTACACCTTTAATAAGTTAAAACTAGCAAATTTTATCAATTCTTGCTATACTTATATCTACATATTTGTCATGGCTTGGTACCTGCATTTTTTTTAATTCTCAGCTCATTGTGGTAAGACTCACACGTACAATATATTATTTCCTAAGCAATTTTCTGGTTTTATTCAATGATGCAAATAGGTTTCAAGAAAGAACTCTTTGCTTGACAAACTGTTACAATCTGCCTTGGCCACAAAGCAGCTTCAAGAAAAGTATAGTTTCCTCTTTGGACTATTTGATTGTATAGCATTTTAACATCCATAAATCTTCTCCATATTCAAGGTGTTAACATCTTTTAAATCTTTTCAGAGAGTTTGAAAGGCTTGCCATGGATAAACTTGTGGCAATGGCTTACGGGAAGTATATGGTAATCTCCCCCCTCAGCTTTATATGTTAGCTTCGTCCAATTTGTTGGCTTTTCCTATATGTTTCACTTTTGTTCCGTTGTCCTTAGCACATGAACTCCTAGTGACCGCTGCAATCCCTGTGTGATATGCATGAATCTTTTAAAGTTGGGCAATAGTTTCAGATAACTGATGAAGACGTAATCGGAAATGGATAAAGGAAATTTTTGCTTCCGCGTTCTGTTTTCTTTTCCCTCTAGAATGAGAACTATTAAATGGTTTTAAATTTTTTTTGTAGCAGAAGTATGGAATGAATGATTTAATTTTTGTTGGGAGATTCATTTTAGTAAAACAAAACTAGTGATACATTTTTCCTTTTTCTTTCTCGTCATCTTTTTAATTCTAGTTCCATTTGTTGAGAATGAGTGATTTCTTTCATCTCCACTTATTCTCAAGCCCATTATGGTCTGAAATGTTGTTGTATATTGCTATCCTCTTATGGAAATATAAGTTACGAAATTCTTGGTCAACAGGCTTGCAAAGTTTCTAATGCCTCCAGTGGAAAGAGTTCCAGTAACAAAATGGCAAAGCAAGCTGCCTTGGCATTTGTTAAAAGAACATTGAACCGATGTCATAAATTTGAGGATACAGGAAAGAGCTTCTTCAGCGAGCCTTCATTTCGAGAGATATATTCTTCCTGGTCTGTCAATCCCAATAGTGAAAGACAATCGGATCCTGTGGAGGGTGAATCGGAGAAATCATATGCCTCCATTCAATCTCTGGATGCCAGAGTCTCAGGTGTGTCTTAAGATGCCTTGTAGAAATTTGTGAAATTCTTCCAATAATCCTGTGATATCTTCAACATGAACCTCAATATTGCCATTGGTGTCATTCTGAACTTTTCCATCTGATATTTTCTCCATTATTTTCATGTATATCGTGTATGAAATTGATATACTTCTGCAGCTTTGGCAGGTTCACAGAATAGCCCTTCATACTTTAGTCAGAATGTGGAAAACCACGATGTTACCTCTGGCAATGTGCGCCCACCTGCTAATCACCAAGCTGAGCGAACAACTGGAAGAGAAGAATTATGGTCAAACAGGGTGAAAAAGAGAGAACTGTTGCTTGATGATGTTGGTAATGCAGGTGGCCCGTCTGTCATTGGGAGTTGTATTTCAAGCAGTGCAAAAGGGAAGAGGAGTGAAAGGGATAGAGATGGTAAAGGGCATAACAGAGAGGTGTCATCTAGAAATGGAACCAAAATCGGTAGGCCAACACTATCCAATACTAAAGGGGAAAGGAAAACTAAGACAAAGCCTAAGCAGAAAACTGCCCAATTGTCAATTTCTGTTAATGGCCTTCTAGGCAAGATGCCAGAGCAACCAAAACCAGCATCGTCTCCTGTACTAAAATCAAGTACTTCAACTGGTGGTTCAAAAGAAAAGGATCGGTTTGGCTTGGATGGACTTGATGACCCCGAGTCCATGGATTTATCTAACTTTCAATTGCCAGGAATGGATGTATTAGGTGTTCCTGATGATCTTGATGGCCAGGGTCAGGATCTGGGTTCATGGTTAAATATTGATGATGATGGTTTACAAGATCAAGACTTCATGGGCCTCGAGATTCCAATGGATGACCTCTCAGATTTAAATATGATGGTTTGAAGTTGCTCTCCTTGTATAGTCTTCAAGTCTTGTTTATTAATACTTTACAAACTAAAGGGAAATCCTACGTTAAGGGTGACTGGTAGTTGCATAGTTATTGGCTACCAATCCAAATTAGGTTACTAGATTCTTTTTGAGGCTCCTCTTCAAGTTATTTCAAGTAAATGTTTCGGATGTTTGGAATTTTGCTCCTGTATTTAGTTGGTGACTTTGACTGTAAAGATAGCCTTGTTCAAGCTACAAGTTAGTATAGTCATAGTGATATCTAGGGTACACAGTATCCTTCATGTAGCTTTTTGATCAGAGAATGATACCTCTTGTACATAAGCTTATATTTGAAATAAACCAGCCTTTTATTCTACAAGGGTCTGTAAATTGTTTGTTAACTCTATTTCTTAATTTCTTTTGGTACATAATTCTTTTAGTATGGTTAATCTGTGGAACTGCTGCAGCAGATGTTTATTCTACAAGGGTCTGTAAAATCTGCTTGGGAACGCAAGGTAAGTCTTGAAGTTGCAATTTATAAATTATATACTCCTGATATTATTACTTGTGCTTTGATCATCATTAACGATCTTAAAGTACTTGGGTTTTGCAAGTGTATGATCGTCGTTAACAATGTATTCAGAACTTATGGAGCCAAGACATCATGGTGTGGAGGATTCTAGTATAAGATCGAAAAGGAGTAACAAATCGCAGGCTTCTAGAGAGCTTTCTTTGGTAAAAAAAGTATCAATGAGATTTCATTTCCCAGTTTATGTTGATAAAGATTTGCTTGTCTAATTCATAATGATGTATTTACTATCCATATGAAGTTTATGCTTCCAAGAGGACCATGAAGAAGCCAGTTAATTAATCTTGATACATGATACCAAATTTAAGAGGTATTTTGAGAGTTTCTAAGTTGCAATACATTACTTGAGTTTTCTGAAGAACCTTGTGTGTACTAGGAACAGAGCTGTAGTTGCATCTGTATATGGGATATACTATAGCCTTCTTGATAGATCTGCTGGCGTGTCTTGTGCAGGTCTTCAATCCATTCACTTAGGGAAGTGGGTTACAGTTTCCGTAACTTTGATGTTACCAAAGAGTGCATTTGCCTGGTCGCTACAAAAACTTGAGGTAATGAAAGTTTCAGTTTCTCATTTTCATCCAGCCCCTTCAAGATTGAAGCTAGGATACTGATTGGATGTATCATATTCATACTGATAAAATTGTAGAGCAAAAGAAAAATGATGCAAAAGGGATATTGATAGTGTAAAGACCCGAGCCCACCACTAGCAGATATTGTTCTCTTCAGACTTTCCCTCAAATTTTTAAAACGCGTCTACTATGGAGAGAGTCTAGTCCTACTCTGACTAGTGCCTTGCACCGTCCGGTAACTTGGTTCTGATACTATTTGTAACAGCCCAAGCCCACCACTAGCAAATATTATCCTCTTTGGATTTTCCCTTTCGGGTTTTCCCTCAAGGTTTTTAAAACACGTCTGTTAGGGAGAGGTTTCCATGCCCTTATAAAGAATGCTTCGTTCTCCTCCCCAACCGACGTGGGATCTCACAAATAGACTCTTGTTATTGTTATTATTATTATTGATATGCTTATTTCTCTTGCTGCATGTCTCCAATTTATCCCCTTTAGAAACTCGAGGTAATTCCAAACGGAATACATTTTCCTAGTCGATACAATATGTTGTGATAAATAAAATTGAAAAAGTAGGAGGTTAGTTTATCACGGTCATCCAGCCCCTTTAAGATCAAAACATGAAATTTATTCTAGGTTTGTTAGTGTGTTGTTTGGATGGTCAAAATTACACAACTAATTTGCTGCAGTCTCTGGATTTCTTTTGCAAGTACCTATTCTTCCTATATTACAAAAGAAATAACAGTTTACGCTCTTCATGTATAGGAAATAGAAACCATTTATTGTTATCAGTTTAAGCTTTGTCAATACTGACCATTGTTATCTTTTAGAGGAAATATAGGCACACTGAAAGTTTCAGTTTGACTACATGCAGGAAATAAGATCTGAAAATACTATTTGGCCATCAAATTCTAGGCTAGGAAGATGCTCGGACTCGAAACCGATGGTGTTATACATGATCCACGCCCGTTCAACTCGCAGGAAGGCTCGATGTTGGTTCCTCTGATATGTAGTAGTAACCTAGGGAGTATTTTCTTAGATTGTTCTTGGCTCTGTACTTCTTTCTATCAATCAACCCCCATCTCACTAAGGCCAGTTTCTTACCATGACGGCCATTTGTATACTCCGGATATTCAAGGGACATAGGCATCCCTTACTATACCATTCCTTGCCATAAGTGCATTATTTTTTCCTTGAATGATCACTTAGATCGAAATTTAATGTCAGATTACACCGACAAATTGAAAATTAATATCAGATAGCGACGCGTCTCGGATGTGGATGGTCTGAATTCGAAGGAGGAAGATAGGCTAGCAACAAACAAATGGTGTCTCTCCATAATGAAGCTGAGACATTGTGGGTTCCATCCTGCGCTTAGCCATTGTGAGGAACTCTCACAGGGTGGAGACAATGTTAGTCTCGAAGAGTTTAGGGTTTAGAGTTTAGCTAGACGAACTTGAATGATACCCTGACAAAGCAAAGATGCAGCCAAGCGGCGCATCCAAGCCATGCTAGACGAACTCGAATGATACAAGAGTTGGGTGGCCTCAGCAGGCAATCTTTGATGTTTCTTTTTCCATTTTAGAAACTTATGGATGATTAGATTATGGCTATCCTCATAATCTTTAGAATCTTCATGCACAAATTTAACTTCAGTTGACAATATAAAACAGAAACATTAGGACTAAAAATCATTCACACTGCCTCTGCTGTCATAACAAGTATTTATTTTCTTTTATGCTTCAAATTTTACATGGGGAGTGGTAGAATTGGATTACAAAATGTTACAACAAGAGGCCACGATTTGAAATCTCTTGACACGACATAATATCACGGTATCATTCTGAACCATCCACAAGAAGGATCAGAACCATCTAAATTGTGACCAGCAAAGGAGCAACTATCATCCCGTTTAGATTGAAACACCTCTTTCATTAAGAAGCAAACTGAAGTAAAACAAACAGCATTCATGAGAAAGTGAGATGGGGGCGGATTCCTTGTTCATCCTTGCAAGCCTTGAAATCAGCAAACAATTGAGATTCCCGTGTATGAGCCAGAATGATCAACTATAAAAAAGAAAATGATGCATTATCAGCTCAAACACCAGTTAATGACTAAGCTTGGTTAAGATAGACAGAGACAGAGGAGCATGTCTGGGTTATCCTGGACAATATCACACTTCTAACTTTCATTACTTCTAGAGATCTCAATTGGCCATGAATAAGGCATCATCGTCCATGCAAGATATTGTAATCTAAAGTAAAATGATAAACCAATCACCAAACCAGATAGATTTCAATTTCTAGTGACTACTTTTTTAGATCTGATTTTAGAAATTAACATATTGCATAAGTTAAACAGGTTTCATGTAGGCTCTTAAGCTTCTTGTGCTGCGTGTTCTTATATTTCCTATAGGTCACGGATTCAATCTTGCTATATACACGGATACTTTCCCTTAAGTCTTGTCTAGAAGAAAGCAGGTATCCTTGATTTACTCATATTAGATATGCACGCAGTCATACACAACTATGCTGGGGAACCAGAGACGGATGTTCTAGATGCCCAACATTGCGAACTAGCAAAGCTGAAAGCATAAGAATCTCTCACTACCAATGAGGATAAACAGTTGGTTTTAAAAAAAAAAATCCTATCTGGGCTGAAGGGAAAACATGGCTTACATTACATGTTTTAGCATGCAAACATGAAGTCTGAAATTTCCACTCCATCACACCAAATGATAGATTTCGTTGCTGAGTCGAGATTGCATCACGTGATTCTCAACAGAATATAGAAAGATATCAAAAGTTTTTAAAGGGAACGTAGTTCCATAACATACCAGATAAAATTTAGAAAGTTGCAAGTGGAGACCCTGCATCATTGAAGTAAGATGACAGGTCAATATCTGTATCTTCATACATCTTGATGAAAGGATGTTCCTGAAAATCACACAAGAGGTGAACAAAAATTTCAGATTTATTTTCTCTATTGTGCTGACATCTTGCTTATCAACATGTGGGAGGAAGAACTATATACCAAAAGTTCACGTGCTGACAGTCTATCCCTTGGGTCCTTTTGCACACTATTACATAAAAATAACCAGTTTCTGAGTTAGCATATGTAATGTGAAACACTTGAAATAAGCTAGAGTAAAAGAAAATACCTACTTACAGATGCAAATTCCTAATTGAAGTTCATATAATGATCGACAAATTCTCAGCACAAAGGATCCGAGGAAAAGTTGGATTCTTACCATGCAGAAATGAACGAACAGAAGTTGGGAGTAAATTGGTCAGCCGGAGCAGAAGGAGGTTCGCCCTCAACAATGGCTTCCATAAGCTCATAAAAATTAACCCATCCTCCCTCTTGCTCTGGTGGGGAATAAGGAAATTTTCCGGTTGCACACTCGAGAAATATCAGGCCCAAGCTCCAAATGTCACTTTTATTATCATATTTTTCTCCAATAATTCTCTCTGGCTATAAATAACAATGCAAATGCATAGAGACAGACATCAGTCAGTTTTACACATGTTTAGAAGGAAAAACGTATAGCTCTTTCCAGAAAAAAAAATGAAGGGAAGACAGACAGACAGCCAGAGAATTGTGTTTATGTGAATATATTGAGAAATGATACTCACAGACATATAGTTATACGTGCCAACAAAAGTATTAGCCTCTCCATATGTGCTTGCCATAATCGCACTGACACCAAAGTCAGTAATCTTGACTTCCCCTCTATGATTTATTAATAAATTAGAAGGCTTTAAGTCCCGATGAATGATGTGTCGTTCATGGTGAAGGTATGACAACCCCTTCAGCACCTGTATTGGAAGGAGAAAAGGAGTTAAAAAGGAAGTCTACAATTATTTCCTAAATTTAAAAAGAACAAATTCTCTATATCCAAGCAGGTCTACCTACCTGCTTACAAAGGGCAGCAAGATATGGTTCTTGAACTTGTTTAACCTTTTTCAAGAAATCTGCTAAAGAACCTCCATCCATGTACTCTAGGATGATATATATAGAGCCATTATCATAGAAAGATTGGTAACAGACAACTATATAAGGGCACTGCGCTGATTGATTGATTTTCAATTCTTGTGCAATCTGCTTGCGGTGAGACTCCTCAATTTTCATCTGAATTACCTGAAAGTGTATTCATTTGATATATGATAGTTATGATTTTTTCTTTTTGCTAATTAACGCGGATAGTTATTACTTTCTTTGTTGATTCTAAAATTTCTAATGGGAAGATTACAAGCAGGAATGTGAAACAGCTTGTCTTAAACGCTCACTGACAGACTTAGTACAACAAAAAGCTATCCACTAATGTTCATATGGTAGAGTAGATTTAACTAGTTATGGTTCAAACTGCGAAAGAAAAACATATCTTAGCTTTTCGCTCACAAGAAAATAAGCTCAGAAATTCCATCAACTAAAATCCTCCCATTCCAATAAAGAAATCAACTAATGACATAGTCGTCAAGAAATTAAGGACCTTACAGAAAATAGCATCAAAATACTTGGAATTTAAAGAAAAAAAGAAAAAAAAAAGACTTAAATTCTCATGAAATATCCAAACTCTGTCAACCTTTTTAAAAGAGTCCAGCTAGCTAAGAAAGGACGATTTCAAAGCAAATAACTATTGAATATGTTAGTTTCAGAAAACTGCAAAGACAGATGAAGGGGGGCTAGTCGTCCAGAGATTATAGACCTTCGATATAATGACGATTAAGATGCTCAAACCACTATTTGAAGCATCAACTAAAAAGTATATAAAGCACAGAAGTCAAAGGCAGGCAGTTTCTAGGAAGAAGATAACGTTTAAGCCGTGCAGTACCTTCAATGCAAAAAACTGAGCAGTCCATTTGTGCTGAACTAATTGCACGGTTCCACCATTTCCTTTTCCAATGACTTTAATTATGTCTATGTCCGCTAAACTCAGCTGATCATCGGTAGGCTTAATCGGAGGTGGCTGAACACATGGGTAGACAGAAAACAAGTTAGTATCCTAATATATACACACATAGTTCTCAAGGCAACATAGTCAACCACTTTTTCCCCTTTGATCCCTGTGTGTCTAAAAACAAACAAGTTTAGCGTAGGAATCGACATGTTATATACTTCAATCGATTGTATTCAATAATCATCTAGTTTTGTTTTCTAAAGATAAGCTTATAAATACTACTTCATTACGAGTTGTTTTGTTTTTTTTTTTAAATCTGAACCAAGTTTTGAAAACCGAAAAAAAAAAAGAGAAATTTTCAAAAACTTATTATGTTTCTGCTTTTGGAACTTAGATAAGAATCTAAATATTTCTTTAAGAAAGTTAAAAGAGCATACTAAAGAAATAGTAAGGAAACAAGAACATTTCTAGTAAGGAAACAAGAACATTTTCAGTAAGGAAACAATAACATTTTTTAAGAACTTAAACGAAAAACCAAATCGATATCAAACAGTCTTAGTTAACTAAGAGTTAGTACTAAATCTAAGTTCAATCACAAATGCAATCCATGGTTTATAAATCCATACTTTGTTGCGGAACATCTTTATCCTATGTAGCAAGAAATCGCGTAATTGAAAACTAGAGCACATTATTATCCTCTAAAAATACACTGTGCTGCAAAACTGAGATTTCTTACTGCTTCAACTTCACTCTTGGAAACAATCCGAACCCCATCTCTGTTTACGAGCAGATCGCCATCCTTAAACGTGCCGCTCTGCGTTCTATACAAGAAAAAGAAAACCAAAATTCCAGATTCATCAGAACTTTCCACTTACGCAAACACAAACAGCGACAGAGAGAGAGAGAGATTACAGGAACTTCGCTATGGATTGGTCATCTTGAGGGAGATTGAGCTTGAGGTTGAGGTTGTTGCTGAAGCCTCCCTTCCTCATTGATGGCAGATCTCTTCCAGGCAGCAACCGTGTAGAATTGATACTGGAATTGAAGCTTTTGAGTGATGAATCGATGATTGGGAGAGAGATATAATTCACAGAGACATCAAGAACATAACTACAGATGAATTTATGAAGTAAAGCGATTAATGGAAAAGTGTCTAGTAGTAGTTGAAATGGATAGATTTGCGAAAATTAACGACAATTATCATATAAAATTCTAACACAAAACCCTAATGTTCCCCATTTTTGTCAGTCACAGCTGATTTAATTTTCAAAAAACACGCTTGCGCTTGATTGGAGGATGCGTGGCCGTCTACTTTTCTTCTCTCTTCCCTTAATCTTTGACTTTTCTCTTTCTTTGAATTTTTTCTTTGAATTTTACCATGTTCGTCCATTTATCCATTTAAGCATGGTTCAACGGTTTACGGTTCACAGGTTTCTACACCTTTGTAATAAATATTTCGTTCTTCTCTCAACGTGGGATTTTACAATCGAGAGCATAGAGTCACGGTCATGCTCGTCCAAGATGTGTTGTCCATGGGCGCATGCACATGACAAGCCAAACCCTTTTATGTCTTTTCATGTTCTAGTGTTTTACTCTTGTATTTCTAAGAAGTTTAACGTTTCGGAAAAATCATGTCTAAGTCTGCTAGACATGAAATGCCTCAGAATGTACTATACGGGGATATGACTAGTTGTCAACTTCTCCCTACCAATAGTTATATACTGTGAGTCATTGTTGTTACTCTCTTGCTTGCATGTATAACATCTCTTTCGAAAATCTTTCTCTGCCCTCGTTTTCTAAAATCTTCTTCTTAAACTGAGGCTAGAGACTCGAGCATACGTCGCTTGGCCGTAGACGATCTAAGAACGAATTGGCTTAGCTCACTTGTCGTTGGAAAATGAGCTAAGTCAATTCGTTCTTAGATCGTCTGTCATCAAGAGTGCAATTGTGACACACAATGTCCTTGCTGACACACTACCCGATGACTGATTGTGATACCATTTGTAACAACTCAAGTTCACTGCTAACAGATATTGTCCGCTTTAGCTCGTTGCATATCGCTGTCATTCTTACGGTTTTAAAACAGTCGGTTAGGGGGAGGTTTTTGCACCCTTATAAAGAACACTTTGTTCCCCTCTCCACACTCCTTACAAGCCCAGCATCCTCACTAGCACACCGCCCCGTGACTGGCTTTGATACCATTTACAACAATTCAAGCCCACCGCTGACAGATATTATCCGTTTTTGCTTATTACATATCACCGTCACCCTTACGATTTTAAAACGTATTTACTTGAGAAAGGTTTTCACACCCTTACAAGAAATGTTTCGTTTCCCACTTCAACCAATGTGAGATCTAACATATAATCCCCAAATCGAGACACGAAACAAGAAAATAATTGATGGGCACGTAAACAAAAATCGAGAAAAATAAATGGTGTAGAAAGGAGGTGGAGTTTACTGATTGGCTTAAGAACAGAATCGAGAAGGAACAATTTTCGAACCTTATCCCTAAGCTTTTATTAGAGACTCCTAAAATAATAATCAAAGAAACCATCATTAAAATTCACACGTACCCCTAAAATAATTCAACATTAATCAAAGATATTTAATCATAGACATAAAATTTGTGTCACGCATATTATTATCCTATAAAAAAGGCACCTTATGACATTATAGCAATGTTAATAATTTGAAATTAGAGATGAAATGAAAATTAAATTATTCACATAAAATTAATTAATCTCATAAATATATTAAATTAGAAAGCTTATGAGTTATTGGGCCAAATAGTGGCATTACATTTCCCTAATCTTACCTAACCAAAATTTTGTCCTATTCGATTTTTATATTATAAATATATTTTTATTTTATTATTAATTCCATTTTAAACAAACTGAAAAAGAAAGAGAGAGAGTACAGTGGAAGTTCCATTGTTCTTCAAAATCAGAGCTCAACCACGCCATTTCATGGAGCCAAACAGCAGCGCACCACTGTCCTGGGCGCCGCCGATGCGCCGCCGTAGGTCCTCGTCTCCGCCTTTGATTTCTTTGCCGGTTTTGATTATTCTCTTGCCGACGCTGGCTTTGATTCTCTTGTTCTTCGCGATCCGTCTGCTTCTTTCGCTCACTAATCAAGTTTTTTGGCCTAATTCGGTGAAGAAAAGCTGGGATTCGTTCAATGTTTTCCTTGTTCTGTTTGCGATTATCTGCGGCATTTATGGTAGACGAAAGGACGACGAATCGACCGCCGTTGACGTCGGAGAAAGCGGTGATTCTGGTCGGAGAATGGTTGATGTGAACGGGGACTCGGAGTTATCGCAGCGGGGGTTTGAATTTGCAGAGAGGAGATTTTATGATTCGGTGATGAGAACGCCGGGAACGGCGGCGGTGGCGATGGACCTGCGGCAGGAATCGCCGCGGGAAAATGGAAATGATGGGAATAAGTTCCTCTTCTTTGACGATTTTGAAACAAACAAGTTTCGTTCGCGGTCCTTCGCGTTCAGAGCGCGAGGATATGAAATAGAAGAATCGCCGGCGGAGATTAAGGTTATTCCGGTTGATACGTTTGTGGCTAATTCGTCTCCGGCGTCTCACAGGATGAAGTCTCCCAATCCCCAGCCTCCGCCGCCTCCGCCGCCGCCGCCGGTTACTCGAAGGAAATCGAGACAGACTATCCAGAAAAAGGAGGAAGTTCGCGAGGTCAGTACGAATAATGCTGAAATCGCAAAGTCACAATCGCCGCCGCCCCCGCCGCCGCTACCGCCGCGAACAGTTATTCCTCCGTCGCCGATTCGAGTTCGGCTGGAGGAGAAATTTCGAAAGAGTGAACGGAAGAAGACAAATGTTAAGAAAGAGATAGCAATAGCGTTGGCTTCACTGTATAGGAAGAGAAAGACGAAGCAGAAAGCTAGAGATATCTACGACGGCGATCGACACTCTCCAACCGATCAACGGCCACCGCCGCCGCCGCCGCCTCCACCTCCTCCTCCGCCTCCTTCTTTCTTCCGCATATTCAAAAAACAGAACAAGAACAAGAAAGCTCAGTCGGAATCTGCACCGCTTCCGCCGCAGCCGTCTGTCTCATCGTCATCCCGTTCAACAAAGAAGAGAAATCAGATCCCCCTTCCGCCTTCACCGCCACCGCCACCATCATCACGGCAGCAAAATTCGACCGCTAGCCTCCGACCGCCTCTACCACCCAGGGTTCAAAATTCCACAGTCGAAAACCAAGTCATAAACAGCGCGGTACGGAATCCCTCAGAAACCATTCCACCGCCGTACAAAACGACGACGGACGTGAAATCCGGGGTTCGAGGCGATACCGTCGGGTCACGGAGCTCCGAAACGTTTCATTGCGTATCTCCGGAACCAGATAGCGTCGGTTCGTCGTCGGCTAACGGGACGTCGGAGCCGGCCGTCGAAGTAAACGGAGTGGGCGGAGTGGGGCCGGTGTTCTGTCCCAGCCCGGACGTTAACATCAAAGCAGCAAATTTCATTGCCAGGCTAAGGGGCGAGTGGAGACTGGAGAAGATGAATTCGGTAAGGGAGAAAGAAATATTGGGCCAAGGCCCAAATTACGAACTAAGGGGGGCGGGCCTAGGCCCAAATGTTTAAGAATCTGCATCGCTAACCGAAGAATATCCGAAGAAATTAGGTTTTTTTTTTTTTTTTTTTTAATCTCTCAAACTGTGTGTATAGTTGGGTAAGCTGAGGTGATTGGCTAGATGCACTCTTCCCTATATACCCTATTTTCGGGTTTCATATGAATCAATCGATACCATATTAAAACGAGGGCGACCATAAATTTAGTGGGTTGAAATTTATGCACTAAAGCTTCGTAATTAATTATTTAACTTTTATTATTTTATTTACAATTTAATATTATTCATTTAATTAAAATCTAAGATTATTAACGTAATCTTGAACGGTGTATGGTTGACATGTAAGAGGATTACGTTCAAGTAATAACTTAAATAGTCTATAGTATATGGATAAGGTTTGGTGCCTTATCATAGTAACAACTCTATTCATACGGTCCACTTTGTAATCGTTACAAATGATTTGATCCAAGTCGTTCATGTGGAGAAATGTGAATAAGGGTATCCTATCCAGTAGAATTTGTATAGTACTGGACCAAGAAATATTTAATTCTTTTTTTATAAATTCGTTAATTGAGAAGATTAATATTTCACCTGATGTATAGACGACTCGATCTTAATCTTGAGTGAGTTATGAACTTTGAAGGTCTGTCCTTTAATTTGCATGGGTGAGAATGACTTAAGCAGCCGATTCAACATGTCTACCATTTTGAGAACTTAACCAAACACATGATTGGGAACAAAATAGCATGAGATGTGGAATATCACTTCGTACCAAAGGATAGTAGATGATTTGTTCTCAAAGTACTAATTTTGGAATTCGAACAAAAGTTGTCCCAGGAGAGACTTAGATTGAATCAAGCAAATTATTCATAACGTGAACGATGTAATTATAGGGATAAAACAGACTTCTGACCGAACTGTAATTATAAACAATTCGAGAATGATTAATGATTATGTCGATGGACATAACATATCCCACCATGCATAAAAGTGCAACTTTAGGTCTAACCTATAATTAATGAATGGAAATTGGATAATTAAATAGTTTAATTAATTAATTTTGTATTATTCTGGTTTATAATTTTTTGGTCGGCTCTAATTCATAGCAAGTTAAATTTAATTGTAAGAAAATCTTAAAAGTTTTAAAATTTATATTTAATATATTATATATTAATTGTGAAAGAAAAAATATATTTAATTTAAAATCCTCCGATTAATATTTTTATATTAGATAAGTTAAATATAAAGAGAGAAAAAATGCCTATTAAAATAGGAAAATATATTTATTATTTTTTATACTTTAAATATTAAAATATTTAATTTATATTGATCTATTAAATAAATAATATTTAATTTATATTGATCTGTCCAATAAAAATACATTTTTAAAAAATTCAAACGATGGAATGAGATTCAAATTAAATATCTTATAATATTTAAATATGATTGGAATAATATGTGATATTTAAATATATTATTTAATAAAGATTCTTCGAGTCCCTATTAATAAAATCCTTGTGTAGAGCCAACCATATACTATTCTCCCACATTTTTTCTCGAGAATAAAATTCTCTCTCCCGATAATTTTCTTGAAATTTTCACTCTTCAATCCTTATTTTGTTTCGAGAGGCTCCCACAAGCTTTGGACAATCTCAGTCTAATGTGGAAGAATTTTTAGTTGCAAGGAGCCTTGTAAGATACGGTTTCTACGAGGTAGAATCCTTACTTTCGTATTTATTATTTTCTTTTAATTTTTAATAAAATCAAAACGGTTTCCAATGCTTTCGCTGAAGAGTTCATTCTTCCCCAGTGTGTTTTGCTTGGAACAATTATGTCAGGTGATTTAATTGATTTTTTTCTATGATGCATGTGAGTGAAAACAAAACACATTGAAATATTCCCTAAGATATATAGTAGAATGTCGAGACACATAGGTGACAAATTAGTAAAATATCGTGTTAACACATACCGATGTGCATATTAAAATTTTGTAGGTATTAAATTCTTCCATTATTTATTAGAAGTGTGTATATTAAGTTGGTTGTACTTGTGCTCGAAACGTTCATAACATAATATTATAATTTTATTTTTTTAAAAAGGTATTTAATAAATCTCGAACTTATAATTTGTTATTTAATAAATTTCTAAATGTTTATTATTATTATATAACAAGTAATAGATTCTTTAAACTTTATAAAAAAAGAAAAAAAAAACTGAAAATAATAATAATTAAAAAGATAAAATAAATAAATAAAAAGAAAAAAAAAGATTTTGATGTGAACTCAGGCGGCTTCGTTAATACGCTATACGGATAGTTTGGGGATTGAATCCGTACAGCGACGTCGTTTTAATTTACTTTAATTTCCCTCTTCTTTCCCGCATTGAGAACTGAGAAATAATGATCCGACGTGCTAGGGCTCTACTCTAAGCGTCACCCCCAATTCACTGAGACGACACACCGACTGTGACCCGATGAAACTCGCCGGTCTCAAATCCGTTGAGAACGCTCACGAAGAGTCTGTATGGGCGGCGACTTGGATTCCGGCCACCGACAATCGCCCTTCCCTCCTCGTCACTGGCTCGCTCGATGAGACCGTCAAGCTCTGGAAGTCTGACGAACTCGACTTGGACCGCACCAACACTGGCCACTGCCTCGGCGTTGTTTCTGTTGCTGCTCATCCTTCCGGTTACATTGCTGCCTCTGCTTCCCTCGACAGCTTTGTTCGCATCTTTGAGGTCGATTCCAACTCCACTATCGCCACTCTTGAGGCGCCGCCTTCTGAGGTCTGGCAAATGCGCTTCAATCCCGAGGTAGTTTCTTGCGACTTTTTTGCTTTGAATTCTCGGTGTTTTGATTTTTGTTCTTTTTCTGAATTTTCTCTTGCTGCTCACTTATTTGAGGACGAAGCTAAGAATTTGAGATTGTTTTGCCGTTTACTGATAGTACATAACTTGTTTGGCTGTGATTTTTGTGATTCAGATCGTCTACTTTTTATTAGAGGATCTTGCTAAGAATTTAAAACTATTTTTCCGTTCACGTAACCTGATTTGGACATGAAAGTTCTTTATTGCAATAATCTTCCAATAGCTTTTGCATTTGCTTGTGTCATTTAGTGCTATGTAGTTACTTAGATCTTATAATTTTCATGAGGAAGAAAGCTCCCTTAACTCAATTATCTTTACAAGTTACCTTCCCAACCAAATTTAACAACTAAACAAGTCACATTGTCTAGTGAGAATAATCTAGAACGGACACTCACAGATATCTAAAAAAACAAGTTATTATCCTTAGTGTTCATATCTCTCTGTTAGAAATGCGAATCTAGATAGTAGCTTTTTCATTTGTTATGGTTCTTTCTTTGTGCAACTTACAAGATGCCTGATTTATTGAATTTCAGTTTGATCACCGACTTTCTTCTCAAAAAAGTTGGTAAATTGACTTGATTCTTAAATGAATGAAATGTCTGTCGATGACTGTGGTATGGTGAAGTATAGCTGCTCATTGGTCATTTTTTTCACCAGTATATCTTTATTCATTTAACTCGGATCAACGGTTCGCTTTTATTGAAATTTTACTGAAACGAAGGTTGTCTATCAATTATTTTCATATGCAAATTAGCCCTTTAAATGCAGGAATTGGAATGCCATTTGTGACAGTGACACTTGATAGATGTTGATTGTTAACAAATATTTCATTACGATTACTATCGTAGTTTATAGTCGACTAAAACAGAGAAAAAAATATCATGCCTTTAGTGTTGTGTTGTTCGAAACGTTTGCATTTTCTGCTTGTTGTGCACATAGGTAATTCTAATGGTTCTCTGCACATTAGGACATATGTCAATAGCTGTGAACATTCCTAACTCATTCTTTGATATATGCTCGAAATCGTGGTTCCAGTGACCTTATCAATTTATCAGAACATTGTTTGTTATCATATATGAAAGCTTGCATTGTTTTAGCTTTATGAAAACCTGTTGTTTCTTCCAAAATAGCAGCTTTGTCCTGTATGTTCATGAACTTAGCTGAATCAAGGAGAGCAATGTTTCAGTTTTATTCACTCTGACCAGAAAAGAAAAACCACAAAAATCATTTGATCTGTTTCACAGTTCATGTACAAACTTAACAGTAACCTTTGCATCAGGGTACCATGTTAGCAGTTGCTGGTGGAGGTAGCGCATCAATTAAGATTTGGGACACAAGCACGTGGAAGCTGGCTGCAACTCTATCAATTCCTCGCCCAGAAGGACCTAAGCCCACTGATAAAACTGCTAGCAAGAAGTTTGTACTTTCAGTAGCATGGAGCGTTGATGGGAGGAGACTTGCATGCGGTTCAATGGATGGAACCATTTCAGTCTTTGATGTAGCTCGCGCAAAGTTCCTACACCACTTGGAAGGCCACTTCATGCCAGTGAGATCCCTTGTGTATTCGCCTGTTGAGCCACGGCTACTCTTCTCAGCCTCCGACGATGCCCATGTGCACATGTATGATGTGGAAGGGAAAACTCTGATTGGAGCCATGTCCGGCCATTCAAGTTGGGTCTTGAGCGTTGATGCAAGTCCTGATGGCGCTGCTGTTGCAACAGGTTCTAGCGACAGAACTGTTAGGCTTTGGGATCTCAACATGAGGACTGCCGTTCAGACAATGACTAACCATAGTGATCAGGTCTGGGGGGTTGCATTTCGACCACCTGGTGCTGGCGTTCGGTCTGGTCGACTTGCTAGTGTGTCTGATGACAAGAGCATCTCCCTTTATGATTATTCTTGAAGCAGCAGACAGGCAAGGGCTGTTAGTTTTGTTAGAAAGCAATTGCTGTCCGCTGCTTCATCTTTAGCTGTTGCCCAAACTAATCGTTTTATTTCTAAATTAAGTTGCTTGTCTTTCGAGTTATTATAACATTATAACATGGTGTTATTATATTCAATGATAGTATTCTGTTGTGAACTTCGTTTAACCTGCGTTCATTTGCCAGATTTGGAATCAAGGGCCAAATTTTATTACTAGGTAAAGTAGAGCAACAGAAATTAAAAGCCAGCCGAGTCGAAAGCGATAATCTACAAAGGTACTACACTTTAGACATTGGAGACTTTTGTAGTAAATAATCTTTAAGTACATCCATGACACTCCCATAATCAGCCTTCACTTGAACAGGTGGGTTAGCAAATTGGCAAGCCATGTCTGGGATTTCCTTGGAGTGATAGTCGATTTTCGACTGTGTAAACTTCAGGCCATGAGCAGTGCTCACCACCACCGTCCTATCGGTCGGGCTGATGACACCTTGGTTTCTCAGCTTGATCAAAGCTGTTAGTGCCACCCCTGTGTGAGGGCAAATGAACATCCCAGTAGAGTCAGCTTGTGCCATTGCATCCATTAGTTCCTCCTCTGTCGCTTCCTCGACGATGCCATTCGAATTCTGTAGAGCACAAACAGCTCTATCTATGGAAACAGGATCCCCAATCTGAATGGCCGAGGCGAACGTCGAACTTGCTTTCACAGCCTTGAAATCTTTCCACCCAGATTTGTAGTGTAAATACAGAGGGTTAGCATTGGCTGCTTGTGCACAAACAAGCCTAGGAATCCTGTCAACAAGGCCAAGCTCTTGGCACATCTTGAATCCTTTGTAAAATGCATATATGTTCCCAAGATTGCCTCCTGGAATGATCACCCATTCAGGTACTGCCCAATCAAACTGCTGTAGAATTTCAATGGCAGCCGTCTTTTGCCCTTCAAGCCTCAAACTATTCAAGGAATTGGCTAAGTAAATGGGCAATTCTGCTGTAACTTCCCTAATTAGCTTCATGCAGCCATCAAAATCAGTGTCTATACTCAACACAAAGGCTCCATTTGCAATGGGCTGAACTAACTGTGCCATGGAAATCTTGTTTGCAGGGAGGAAGACGATTGAAGGGATCCCTGCAGATGCGCAGTAGGCCGAGAGCGCGGCCGATGTGTCTCCGGTCGATGCACAACCGACTCCGACGACGGGGCGTTTCAATTTCCTCAGCCGGTTCACTTGGCTAACCAAAACAGTCATGCCCAAATCCTTGAAACTCCCAGTGTGGCTAATCCCACAGTGTTTTACCCATAAATCATTCATACCCAGAAACTGTTTGCCAAATCTCTCAGCCCAAAACAGGTTCGAGTTACCTTCGAAGGCGCTGACGATATCGTCGGGGTCAATCTCCGGCAGCACCCACTCCTTCTTGCTCCACACACCGGACCCATAAGGCCATGTGGTTTTCCCCACGCGTGAATCGAAGAGGTTGCGCCAGTACGCGCCGTCGAATTTCTTCAAGGCCTCCATGTCGTGCTGAACGTCGAGCAATCCACCAGATCGGCTCCGGTAAACGACCTCGTCAAGCGAGTACCACTCAGACGAGTCGGCGCCGGCGTTAAATGGCACGTACTTGGCCGAGAAGTTGCTACGGTCTTCTCCGGAGGCTGCACGATGGCGCCGTGCTTCGTCTTTGATGTTCTCGTCGGCAGAGCGGCGGTTCTTGGTGGTCGACAATGACGGAGAGCCATTAGTCGGCGTGGAGGAAGACGAATCGGAAGTGGCGGATACTCGTCCGATTCTGAGAATGGGATTTCGGAACTTTGGGTTGGCTTGGAGCTTGGGCTTGTAAGAGGGGAAAGAAATGGCGGGGTTTAACAGCGAAGAGGCAGCCATTCTGAGGCGGAGGCGGCGGCGGCGGCGGTGGCGGTGATAATGTCTTAAAACAAGGCTTCTCTGATTATAACTCCACTTCCAGACCTTCCTTTTAACCTAGCAAAATGAGCACGATTACAAAGAAAAAAAGGCCCGCTGAAGGCCCACTCTCAACATCCCTCCACCGTCCGCGTTCGAACCGTACAACGTCCATGGTTATCAAATTAGTGAACCTTGTGTCCATGAGCTTTGCTCTCCAACGAACCAGTCGACTGTGTTCGAGCCCAAGCTGAGACCTCGACACCATTGGTTGGATGGTGGCAAGGTTTTGGGATACATGGCTCATCATGGGCTCGAGGCCAGCCAATGTGTTGGCTATGAGACAGATGATGGGTGACCTCGTGTCGATCATCATGGCTACACGTAATCATTACTCTTATCTTGATTTCCTTAAACAAAGTTGATAGCTTTAACTTCTACATTTAAAGTTGAAGAAGTTTCGTTTTGTTTGTTTTTTTTTTTTGCTCAACCTGTGGTTGGAGTCGAGGACATGCTCTAAAAATTATCGTTTTAAAGGATGACGGAGAAGAGAGTAGAAAGATCTCTCGAGTTAGCTAAACGGAATTGGGGCTGGGTTTATATTTTTCATTCTTGTCCTTGTCCTACTCTACTTTATATGTGTTAAAACTAAGATGTGAACGGGTATGTGATGACTTTCTCGTCCTCACTCTATTTCGTGAATATTTCTAGGTTTTGATTCTGTAAGAATAAGTGGAGAATTTTGCAATAATAAAGATTAAAATATGAGATAGGAGCAAGTCTGAGGAAGACTTTCTCATCCGTACCGTACCCTGTCTTATGAATACCTCTAAGTGCCACGTTGGTAAATATTTCAGTCTGGGAGTAAATACAATGTAGAAGGAACTTGACTAATGTATTGCAATACGTGTCAAATGAATTGTTTAGTTGTATAAGAGGGAAAAACACGTAATTGCACATACACGTCACATTGCAAAATTGTTAGTAATCTGCAATTATAAGTTCAAGTCTTTAGAGACGTCACTCGTCCTAATCTACTTAATTGTGTTCAAGTTAAAAAAAAAATAGTCTATTTCCAAAGATATGATAAAAACGTCATTAATTTATCAAATTTACAATTTTATTTGGCATAAATTAAAGGTTTAGAAATAAACCATTTTGAGTTATCTAAAAAATTTCTTCAACCAAATCAAGTGTAATTTGAAACCCATATTTCGATTCGGGACGTTTCCATGATACATTTAGACATATATATTAATCAATTGGTAGATGAACACGACTCTCCATAATGGTATGATATTGTCCACTTTGAGCATGACCTTTGCTTCCGGCTTCCCCAAAAGACCTCATACCAATAGAGAGAGTATTCATTGATTATAAACTCATGATCATTCCTTAAATTAGCAGAACTTTCATCCAACATCAATAACTTTAAAAAAAAAATTCAACTTTAAAATTATTGATATATGAACGATAATAAAACATACCTCGAATTATAGATGAGAACGAGTTAATTAAAAAATATTAAGAACCTAATTAAAAATAAAAGGAAAAAGTCAAATTGGAGTTGAATATATGATGAAGATTGTGGAGATAATTACCTTAAAAGAATATGAAACATAATATCATTTTTTTGAAATATAAAGAAAAAAAATGACTTTTTTAGGGAAAATGTGGGACTAAATTAATACTCACCGTATATTCTTCCCGCCCCCCGAGTATCAAGGCGCCAACCAATAATTAGCAGGCATCCGATTGGCAGTGACGTCATATATTCCCTCCATTTAAATGATTTAATTTACCTCCAAATTCACCCAATCTAATCTCTGTATCAACATGCTGACCTAACCTGACAGACACGAAAATTTTAGTCGACTGAATGAGAATCGAAACTCGTAAATTTATTATGCTCGTTCTACACTGTAAACTTAGGTTTTGAATTCCATTTGTCCATGTGAGGCTAAATTGAAACTCGTGAGTCCAGTGTGTTCATTCTACATTGTACAGTTAAGTTTTGGATTCTACTAGTTCACGTGACGTGACTTAATGACGTGTGTCTCGTGGGCGAGTATGACAAAATCATCATTTACGGGTAAAAGTAATAAACAAAGCATAGTTTGATGGCTTCACTTTCGATTTCACACGTAAAAGAATGTAAAGTATTAAGAAAGATAATTGTTCTCAGTTATGTACTCACGACGTTTTTCTGTACCACTAATGTTACATTTTTGTTGTATTCCCAACATTCTCGTATCCACATCGGCAATGGTATATTTATAAAAAATTTAAAAACTAATTATTTAATTTTTTTTTTTACGAGTTCAACAATATCGAGGTGAAAAATTTGAATCTCTAGTCTATTTATCGAAAATGTGTATTTTACATCAGTTGAATTATGTTCGTTTTTGCAATCCAAAACGTAACGGTGTAAACAAGACATTGGATTTTGGCGATCGAGGTCATTGAAATTAGGGGTGTACATGGATTGGGATGTTTTTTTTATTATTAAAAAAAAATCACACGAGAATACATGTTACATTAATAATTAAAATATTATAAAATTTAAATATAAAATATTCACAAGTCATGACGTATCATTATGATCGCGTCAAATATTTTTAATTTTTATAATAATCTTAAAATCAATTATAATCCTATTTTTGAGTTGTTATGGCAAATTGTGTAAATAAAGCAAAAAACATGGGCAAAGACCGTAGGGGCCTTAATTAGCGCTCTAATGTTGGTTTTAGAGCATAATTATGAGTAATTGAGACAGATGGTATGTGGAGGCCACGACTGTTATACCAACGCCAACTGACCTCTCACCATTTTCACAAAACCAAAGAAATTTATTCCCCAAAATCGTAAGAACTAAATTTTTTAAACTTTTAGAGAGAGAAACCCCTTCAAACCGGAAATGCTGCTTCGAACTTTTTGCTTTTGTTTATAAACAAACAATCGGAAGAAGCTTTGAAAAAGGGGGGTAACCCACAAAAAATTTGAAAGAAAAAAACAACTTAGACGCAGCTTTGTTCTCTGTTCTTCCTGTTTATCCTCTTATTCAACCTTCTATATTTGTATCAGCTTCAATCCGATCTAACTTTTCGAGTTAGCGGCGGCTGGGGAAGATCTTTTGAGGGGTTTTTATTGATACCCATTTGCGAACTCCAGCTTTGATAGCTTTGTTTTTGGCTATCTCAGGTGTTGAAGCTTTGTGGGTACTTGTTTGTTTGCTCCGATCTGGCTCGCCGAGTCT